ATCCAAGTTCTACATGGGTGATGGATACTCATTCGTGCCGTTCTGTCACTTCGACATTATCAAGGATGAGCTTCAGGCTTAGAAACAGTAGATGCTGATGACGTGTTTACTACTACTACTTGAAGGAAGCGATAGACGATTCTTCTCGTGTTTATTCAACTCCTCCTTTTTCATACATTCGATTCGCCATTTATTGCATCCACATCGTGGCGTCCCAAGATTGTACTAAGTCTCTTATGAGTATGAGGATGTCTTTGGGTTGGTATATCAATTAAAATTTATATGTGGTGTTGTCGTTCACGATCATTGCGAATTTGAAAGTTGCTTCGGCCAAGTTGTGTAGTTGTGATCATTGACCCCAGCTCTTACGTTTTGAATGTATTTTATCGACTTCTGATTTTCTAGCAATATTATAGCTGATATATTTGCGATATGCTTCTGGTGAGACTTTCATCGCGAAGTGGCGAACTTACCATGTGCCGAGCGTTAAGCGAACTTTGCTCCTAGAGGGCTGTTATAAAAGGTATGGACATTACCCGGCATAGAAGGGAACCACTGCACTTGAAGAACGTTCGTTAGAGACGCACTACACGGGAGTTTTATTTTCTCAAGTGTATTCGTCTATTTAGCTTCCGATTGGGCTCCTTGCCGTTTTCAAACTCTTGGTATCCGTCGTGGTTTTTGTGATCCTTTGTGGCTAACAGCCATTTTCTTCGTGGTGAGGAGAAACAGTTTCTACTAACGCTCGGCATTACCCAAATGGCAATATATGGCGTCGCTCGCTTCGAAATTATGATGTCAACTTTATCGTTGCTCAATTTCAGTTGTATCAAGTGGTTGTTCACGGCTCTTTCCCTCATATTTCTCAGAGATTCTCTACGGATTGATTCGAATCAACTATTTAGTAATCGCCGTTACTGACAGGCTATAGCTTCATCTCAGCTCTCAGAGTATCTTGCAGCTTAGCAGAGACAGCGTGATCTAAGTTGTGTCGCTGTAGGTCTCAGCTTGGGTACTTGCTTATGCTTAGCTCGGCTCAGTTCATTCACTTCATTACTCGTTGATGGATATACGTGTCTTGAGTAGTTTGTTATAGGTTTATGTGATGATGAGGATTGTTTGAGTATATCCGCTTTCGCTGTTTTGGATTAGGTTTGAGAATGTGTGACGTGTTAGTAAGTGTTGGGAATATTGTGTTCTTCATCAGTTTGTGCTTATTTGTAACCAACATGGGAGTTTTGAGAAGTGAGTTTATGTCTCACGGCACTCTTGTGCTACCTCACGAGTGGGCGAGAGATTATGTAGATTTACTCGGTCATAAGACTCAAATTATGTTTGAGGATATGAACTCTTCTGTTATGCAGAGGTAGGCAGTTTAACTGGTATTTTCATCGGTTTATCACCTTGTGTTTTTCAGGCCTTATCGCCGCTATATTCAGCGCATTGAGGAGATGGAGCGTATGGTTCGTTTCCTGAGCAAGGAGGTTGAGAACATGCCAAATGTCCGAGTCAGCAAGAACCGTATCGATGACTT